TTAGATGTGCTCTAAGCCCTGGCACAATGAGACAAAGTTACTCCTTCTCCTCACTCTTCCCTTTTCTATTCTGATAAGTTTGTAAGCAGATTGCAAACTATCACCTACACATCTTTACCTTCCACAATGTGATCTCTCTAGAGATCATAGCAGGTGGCAAATTGGTCTTATTTATCGTTATTTGCATTTTTATTTTGTAGTATTTTAGGCCCAGAGAATTTTCACAAGTCTTAAGATGACAGCGCAAACATTAATACATAATTCATCATCTATTTTTCATAATACATGTGGTTAACAACCCATTGATAAACAGAAAAATCATTACCACTTTAAGTAGGATAAAGTTAGTTCTTGGCCCTACTCTTCCTCTCTGAGGTCTCAAAGGATAAATTGCTTGTGACTGAAGCACCATCCACAACCTCCATGCTATTTTGTCAACAGGAAGAGCCTTCTTACTTGTAGCTTTGTTATTCTTCAGAGCCACTAGATGTTAAATAATTGCAATACAGTGTTTGTGAGGCTTCCACAGTCTCTGATTCCGGCACACTGGATGCTTTTAAATGTAAGCGAAAGATGAGAAAGCAAGAGAGCTACCCCTACCCCATACTGCTTTCTCTTTCCTTCCGAAGTCCTAAACCTCACTCTACAATATTCCTTTGTCATCTTTTCTTTCCATGTCCCCACTCTGCCCCATCAGGCATTGCTATTTTCATAACTCAGTTGGAAGAAATATTAATTCCTCTAATCATTTTGAAATAAAAGCTCCACAGAAAAATAAAATGCATAGACAAAATGCCCAGGAATTTGACTGGGAAGCAAATAAAGGAGACTAGCAAAATAAAATGGACCCTAAGCAATTTTATCACAAAGATGATCAGTGAAGAAAACCAAGCAGATTAATTCAGGAGAGCTGCAGACATCACACTGTGTTCTTGGTGGCTGTTACCCAACTGAAGTAGACAATTTTTTTATTTTTCCTTGCTACTCTAGGTGCCTCTACACAGAGAGCGCATATTCCACAAGGATGAAGCACTTCTGAGAAGTCCAACTCACACTAATATTCCTTTTCTCTGGCTCTTACTGCATAGAAAAACCAATGAACCAAAATGTCATTTGTTGGCAGTGCTCCCAAAACCCATTTTAGGTACTGTGGGGAAGATCAAGAAGACACACTTTGCCCTCCATCACCATACAGTGAAGCAAATGATTGGGAACAGCTATTTAATGTGTATGGACTTTGTCCCCCCCACCAGCTTGTAACTTTCTTTACAGCTTCCTCGTTTCACTATGTCCATCAAATGCCGCTATTAAATCCACCCATGGAGGAAGAGTTTAAACCATAAAGAAAAGGAGTCAAGTGCTTCATTAGTTGAAATGATTATCCTTTTAGGATTTCCTTTATTCCCTTCATCAAGTATTTCTGGAATGCTCACTAGCTTATTGGGTGCCACACAAGGCACCAGGGAGGCCCCAGTGACCACATCGAGTTTTAATATCTTTCTAGATCCAAGATGAGAGAGACATAAGAAAATCCTTGAACAGCTACATGATTTCTACACCAAAAAATAACGACTTGCCGGCAGGCATCTAACTCCAGCCACAATTTGCTGAAGACCTTGACAGTGGCTGCAATTTTTGTTAATGACTAGTGTCTATTCTGGTGATAAATTAAAGTGACTCCAAAAACAATAGCCTGGGAAAACTATTTTTCATGGATGATGCTTCCTAGTCAGGAAGAGGTTTTCCCCGAATGAGTATTTTAGGGGATGTGGAGGATGACATATGACATTTCCAATAAGAATCTGATAGTTTTTTACACATTTGATGGCATCAGATCATCTCCATAATATGTGGCTACAAGCAGCAACATGTGGTCCCTTGAAAGCAGAACGGATTCAGAAATAGTGCATTTTAAAAGACACTCTCTTGCTCTTTATTTTTTTTTTAATTACAATTTGACTTCTTTCCTGCTAAGCTGCTCTCCTCTGAGAAGATTTATAATGTCAGGAATGCACATATAAGGCTAGCTGAATAAGCAATAAAGTACTAAAGGAACAGTTATGTTAATTTATAATGTGCCATTTGTCGACAATCCAAAAGACATTACTTCAAACAAAGGTGACTAGGTGGATGTTAATAGCCAGCAAATGTATTGATGCAAACTCTTGTTCCAAGTAACTGCATTGTAGAAAGGATTTTTCATTACGTTACTGGTCTTCTTAATTGTCCAAAATTTTCATATTTACTTTTAAAATCAAAATATCATAGTAGATGCTTTCAAATGAACTTCCAGTTTCAGATATTGCAAATACTGAAATATGCCAGATTTGAGTTTTACTAAAAAAAATTGGCTCAGATGTAATTCCAAATGTTAGTTTAGTATCATTTTATTTAGCAAGGCTGGCATGCTCCCAGATACAGTAGAGAATTGTGCAATTTTCCAGATAATCTAATCCAAAAAAATCTTGTTTTGGCTTGAATTTTAAAAAAACTTTTTGGCTTGAAATATCTGAATTAATTAGTTTAGCTATTCCTTTCACATGGCCAATGCAGAATAGGTCCGAAGACTGTGCAACAAGCAAAGTTCAACCAATTTTCCTCAGCACATCCTTGACCTTAATGTTGGTGAGTAAGGTTTATTGTACAGAAAAAAAGAAAAAAGAGGCTATATTCCTTAAGAGTTTCTTTCAGTAATCTCTACCTCTACATCCACCAAGTTTTTCAGATGAGACCAAACAATGTAGGATTTAGAGAAGTGGCTTCAATTTAGTGGTTGGGTCTCAGGTGGAGGACAGATGACATAAAGTAAACTTCTTAAAGAATTCTTTTCTAGTCCCAATTTATGGGGCCCTGCAACCTCCTCTTGGCCTGGCCTTTCTGTCCCTGGCTTATGGCATGAGCGTCTTCCTACAGAGAGGCTTCCATGACCTCACCTACATACAACAAAATTTTCTCCCTCTTCAGTCCCAGTGCCTCACACTCCAAATTCTCCAATTCTTATTTACCAGACAAATTAATTTCCCAAACTCTAGTTCTCATCACTTTAGTTCCCTAATTACAAACTTTCCACTGCTCTCCCTTTCCTACAAGACAACTTTAAAAGTGCTCAGCCTGACCTGCTGGGTCCTTTGAGATCCTTCCCCAACTGATCTCTTCAGCATTCCTCCTGAATGGCCTACTGGAAGCTTGTATTTGAGTCACATGGAACTACTCACCCTCCCTGCTCTGGCCCATTCTGGACCTCATCTTCACTTACCTCCTCCAAATGCCTACTCTCTCTTCCTAATGACCCAAACACTCCTACTCACTAAGGCCCAACCCAATTACATCTCCTTTGAGCCCTCCCTGAAAAATGCAGCCCAGGAGAACATTCCTTTCTGTGAGCTGGTACCCATTCTTGGCCGTATAATTGTATGCCAAACAGGGCAGCTCCTCCAACGACATCTAGTTTGGATCATGAAGTTTTCACTTGCGGTAACAGCTCTGTGTTCAATACCTCTTTGTATGGCATGTAGCACATGATAGTCTGTGGTTGAATGGCAGGATGAGAAATAATGATCCCAGTTGTGGTTCCTACTCTTCCAGCTATACCTTCTGCAGTGGAGGATCCTCTATCATTCATGTAAAAACAAGTGAAACCTGAAAAGCTTGTTATACAAGCAAGGCTCTGGCCCTCAGTTTCCTGAAGTGGCTGAGTTGACTCTGGGGTCTGAGTGCATAGATTAGAACAAAGGTTTTGCTATTTACTGGCTATATGATCCTCTGTCTACTTCTGTGCCTTCATATAAAATGAGGCTAATAACAGTACTCAAGTCATCTGGTTGCTGAGAAGATTAAATAAGATCATATAGATAAAGTGGTTAGTGCTAGGCACACAATAACTGCCCACTAAATATTTGCTCTTGGCTGGGCGCAGTGGCTTATGCCTATAATCTCAGCATTTTGGGGGGCCGAGGTGGGCAGATCATGAGGTCAGGAGATCGAGACCATCCTGGCTAACACGGTGAAACCCTGTCTCAATTAAAAATACAAAAAATTTGCCGGACATGGTGGCAGTCACCTGTAGTCCCAGCTACTTGGGAGGCTGAGGCAGGAGAATGGCTTGAACCCAGGAGGCAGAGCTTGCAGTGGGCTGAGTTCATGCCACTGGACTCTAGCCTGGTTGACAGTGTGAGACTCCATCTCAAAAAAGGAAAAAAAAATTGCTCTTATTTTTATTACACACTGTGTGAAAAGAATTTCCTACTTTAGGAAGTTTTCTCTTTCAGGTGGAATGTCAGTTGACAAAGCACAGGCCTGCTATTGAAAAATGCACTTTGGAGATGGGTTTCCATCCTCTAGGCTGGCCTGGCAGGTCAAGGTGTTCTCAGGGTGATTGAATTACAGAACTTTCACCTGGGCTCATCTACTAGTTTGACAAACTCAGCTCTACAGAGACAGTTTCATTTTTATTTTCCTAAACCTCCTCCTCAGCCCATTGACAAGAAAATGGCAAGAGCTTCCCAGGTTTAAGAAAAGCTGCAGCCAGGTCTTCTTGTTAGACTGAGACTGATCAAAACATTCCAGGATGAGACAGAGATGTGAACAAGACAAATCAAAACCACGTAGGTGAAACAATCAAGAAGTCTAAGCCTTGCGCTAGGAAATAACCACAGGTCCTTAGGTATCCTAGACACTCCTGAGCTCCCTGAGACAGAGCTAAGGCACTGACATCAGAACCACAACATAATCCTGCCTGCACTCGTCTTTTACTGCATGGATTTGTACTCAAGTCACTTCTTATCGTATTTATGTAGTTTAAAATATTTCACCCAGAGGGCTGCTTTTCCTCAGGCCTACCTCTTATAGGTGAGATGTGTTCCCCTCCTCCCCTGGGCCTGCCTAGTAAGATCCCGAGGTTTCCCCCTTTCTTAGATTTGAAGACAACCCATTTCGCACTGGACACACGCGCAAGAGCCCCTTGGGCAACCTGCCTGCAGGGTACTAAGTGGGAGAGTTACCTTGAATTCAGTCTCGATGTTGGCTAGTCTGGCTAACTCATTGCTGAGCTCCAGGGCGGTGAGGACAGGGTCTTCGCTGGACAGGGACAAGTAGGCGGCACTCGCCAGTCCTTTGTAGGCGTTCATGCGCGAGCGCGAGTGGCTGAAGGAGTCTTTCCGCTGTTTCTCGGCGCACTCAGTGCACTTGCAGAAGTAGTCATGGGGCCTCTCGATACGGGCACCCTTGAGCAGCAGGATGTGCACGATCTCATACTCCTGGCAGTGCGCCGCCAGGATGATGGGCGTGATGTCGTGGGAGAAGCGCGTGCCGTCCTCGTCGTAGGCATAGAAGTCGTCGTCACGCAGCTCCTGTTCCAGCGGGCTGAGCGTCAGGCGCTGGCCCTGCGCGAAGGCCGGGTGGTTGAGGATGGCCTCCACGATGCGCACGTAGCCCTTGCTGATGGCCAGCAGCAGCGCGTCCCCGACCCGTGCCAGGTTCTCCTTCTTTAGCAGCAGCTCCGTGACCTCTAGGTGCTCGTTGCCCACGGCCAGCTGTAGCGCGTTCTGCCCCATGTAGTCCACGCAGTTGAAGTTGAGGGTCTTGGACTCCTCCAGCATTTTCCGGACCACCGGGATGTTGCCATACTCAGCTGAGTCCAGGAAGCGTTCCTCCTCGGCCGTCAGGCTGGTGCCCTTCTCGTTGAACATGTAGGCAGGACCCCGGATGGCCTGGCGACGGCCCTTCTCCCTCAGCGTTGTGTGCCGGCGCTGCATGTTTTTGAAGGTGCTGCTCCCCAACCTGTGGGACAGGGCAAAGATGCCAGGTTACTTTCCTGCGGATTCCCTAGCAGTAGAGCACACAATTGTTGAGATACACAAAGAATATCATGCTTGGAATCCTATGAGGAATTGTGCAGTCTTACAAATCATTGTCTCAATCATCAAGATTCAGACACACTGGGTTACCTGAACTATTTCTTTCAAGTGGTAGAATATGACTCAGTTGTCTGTCTCTATATGCCTTGGGTGGAGACGGGGTGGCAGAGCTGAAAAATGGATCTGGAAGGACCCTAATAATAGATGGAGAATGGGTGTGGGATGGTGGTATGGCTGAAGGCTATTGGTTTTATTTCCATTTGTATAAAGTTGAGAGAGCCACTAAACCCCTCGGTGCTTCAGTTTTCCAACCTGCTCAATGCGGATAACTTACATGTGCTGCAGAGTCTGTAGGAGGATTAAATGAGGTAATTTGTGTGTAGAAAGTATAAGTCTATGTAGGTTTTATTCTGTTCCCTCTTGCCTCTTTTTATGCCCAGCTCTCCAAGGGCTGTGCCATAGAGTTGGCCATCACAAATACGGCTGCCTTCGGTTCAGATGTTTCCCCCTGAATGAGCTCCTGCACCATGGCAAAACTGCAGCAACATGCATGCATGCCACACGTGTCTGTTTCTACATTCTGTGCTATTCTCTATGGGAACAGTGCTTTCTGGTCCACACGCAACCTAAGCACCTATTAAAGGGCGAGATGTGGCAGGAAACAGGACTAGAATCATTGCCACTTGCTGATGGCCACTGAAGCAACCCTTCTGAGAGAATTCAGCCTTAGCTTCTTAATATTGAGCCTGGATTTTTACATGGATGGAAGAAATAGCTCAACTTACATGCTGGGTCCGCTTCTTACTTATTGCTGTTTCCCAGTGTGGCCTAGTGTAGAGCTTAATACTAATGCTACTAATAATAGCAGTTAACATTTATTAAGCACCTACTATATGCCAGGTATTATATTAAGAGCTTCACATGTATTAACTTGTGTAATTCTTGCATCAAATCTATGAGGAAGGTGCTATTATCATCCTCATCCTCAGATGAAGATACTAAGAGTAGAGAGGCTGAAAGGCAGACTTTGGAGTTAGGAGGTTTAGAGTAGGAATCCTGGCTCCACCATTTGACAGTCTTGGACAATGTAAGTTACCCAAACTTACGTTGCCAAGGTGTTGAAACAGCAAACTAGAGACAATAACAGCTACTGTGTAATTTAAGCTCAAGTTGGGGATATGCCATCTCTAGCCAGCCTTGAGACCTTGAGCAGGTCCCAGCTTCTAGATCTCAAATAACTATGGAATAGAGGGGCTGGACCAGGTGTTTCCTAAGCCTTTACCAACTTGGACATCTTAAACGTTGTTGATTCTCCAATTGGTTCTACCTGTATTTTCTATTTTTCTTTTCTACTCTACCTCCACTCACATTATTCAGAGAATATTAGAATGGCATAAATTTTAACAAGAGTGTATCTTTTTTAAAGAGTAAGTACTTGGATATTTGTTTTTAACTATTTTCCATGGTCCCAGAGAATTGTGTTTTTTTTTTAACATTCATCATGTCTTCATGCATAAACAATACTTAATATTTCACTTTAGCCATTTTTAAAAAATAATCAAACAAAAATGATTACAGAGAAAGGCTTTAAAATTAAATCCAATGTTTTGAGATTTTAAAAAGTCATGCAATTAGCCTTGTGAATGTTTAAATTGGGGACTCCATTTAGTTTTCTGCTCATTTTACCTTTTGACCTGCGCAACCTGCTCAAACCTTTTCGGTTTTAGTTCCTTGGGGGCCCTATGTCTGGTATAAAGCAAAGAATGGGGATCATATCTTGGTACTCTAATCCTGCCTGGAGCTGAGTCACACTTCCCTTGGGAAAAGCTGCTAAATTATACAGTGGAGCTAACTTCTTTATCTGCACAAAATAAAAAGAATAATTATGGGCAACTCCCTCAAAAGGCAACCGTGGGTGATAAATCCTAACCGAGAGCTCTGTACACCTTTAGGAAGAGCGTCTGAACCACTGTCCACTTTTTAAAAGTGCACTTTGATAAAAGATTGCTGGGGAAAAGACTGTCAGAATTCAAGTTCATGAGATCCTTCTGAGCCCATTCTTTTCAACAATGCCATCATTCCGGAGACAGTCTGTTCATTGGTACCAAAGGCAGACTGTGGATTAGGAATCCCAGAGAAACATTTACAGGAGAGAAAGATTCACAAATATTGTGCAGGCACTTATTATTACAGGGTTTTCAGAAAGAGAAAGTTACTGAGTTGAAAGCTAAGCAGTTACCCCATTTGTATTCCCAAGAGGCTTTGTTTCAGGAGATGTAATGGACTTAGTTTCAAGGCCTGTCATCTGGGCACACACACACACAGGTAGAAGTTGAACCCAAGGAAGACTGATAATAATCTTTTTCATGGAAGTACTCAGCCTGTTCTACGATAGGCTTCTACTTCTCTCAAAACCACTTTATTAGACTTAGCCATCACAACCCAACCTGAGAAAAAGCAGTTTACACTCAAGAGCATCTGAGCAGTGTGTCAGATACGAAACAGCAGCTGTCTAAGAAGAAGCCGGCACTACAGCTTGATTCCACGTCACTTTTCCATTAGAGGTCTGCTCAAGAGGGAGAATAGGTCAGACTACAAGGTCAAGGATACCCAACTATTACACAGCAACAAGCCATGGAGAGATTAACTCAAAGGAAATTTAATGACTACTGAACCAAGTCATAGCAGAGAAATATTTCACAAGGAACACGTAAGTACCCAATCTAAATTCAGAGTCCCTGTGAATATCACAGACACTGCAGCCTACAAACTTAAAGGATATTCAAGCATTGTTTATTCATTCCACTCATTAGAAAACAAAACAAAACAAAACGTAAAAAGCAAAGTATTAGCATTCTCATCTTTTAGGTGAAGAAACTCTGGTAGGCCAAGTGAAAACACTAAATCTTAGGTCCTAAGACTTTGGACAAATAATTTCTGCACAAGGGTAGGGCATCATATAAATCTTGATGTTTCCATAATAACTATGTTTTATCAAAGAAAAGAATATATGTGTATAGCTAGTACTTGGCAGATGTTAAAATGTCCTCACCATGTGACATGCATTTTTCTGAATGCCCTTGAAAGCAGACACCCAGATGTAGTAAGAAATAAACAAGACTCTTTTGCAGCCTTTAAAACCTCAGCCTTGAAACACATTTGGATGCTCACAAAATTGTCGGTTCTGCTCCTTTCCTAGCAGAATTTAGCGTTAAAAATGAAACCTTATGAGCCTTAAAGTCATGTATGCATATAAGCAGATAATGGCATATGCTACTCAGTGAAATTGCGTCCAATGCGAGGGGCTTCACAATAGACTATGAAGCCATGAGAATTGATGCACATATTGATGGAGGCCTTTTAACCTCACTGTGGGCTTTTTATTAGCTCTGACTACCTCTTACCCTAATATCCCTCTAATGATGCTTTTTAAACATTTATGCACTTGTGAATATATTCAGCCACCATATCCTTGCTGTTTAATCTTGATATCACAGATATTCATGTTTTAGCTATATATATCACATGGGTTGGAAAGAATCCACAAAAGATGATGTGTCAGATAAAGTCACATGGTTCACAGTAGTTGGTGGCCAAAGCTCACACTCATGAATCAGATGTGCCGCCCTGCTGAACTCTGGTGATCCTATCACAGTTTTAGGGCCAATGATAAGCAAAACGAATCTCCCTAAAATGCATTTGGAATTTGATTGCCTTATTTTAGTATTTTTCTTAAAAGTGAACTTTGAACGCAAATACGTATTTGTTTGCATGTATTATTGAGATAATGAGTGATTAAATACCCCAGTTAGATACTATGTTTTACATTTTCCAGAAGTGCATACAACTGACATTTGATGTCATTCAGAAGAAGGATTCCAGTGGAAACAAAACCATATATGAGAGGAAGCCTGATTATTAAACTCCCTCTTGATCCTTCAGTTGCTATTTTTATCAAGCTGCTCTTACAGATGCATCAGCCAGTCTGAAGGAAGCCAGATGTCATTGATCCATGAAAAGTATGAATCTTGTGCCCTAAGTCCAGCTGCACATGAGCATGGCCATAAAGGCTTTTGGAGACAGAAATTGTGCTTAATTACTGAAGAAGAAAAGGCCACTTAATCAAAATGTCTTTTTAGAGATATTTGTTGTCTCTTGTCTAAAATTGCTACATGTATCAAAGGTCTCTATGGAAATTATCCAATCTTAAAATCAATTCAGCCTGTAATATTCCCCTACTGGAAATAGAACCAAACAGAATCTAGGAGTCAGATCAAACACCCAGGAAAACCCAGCTTTGCTCTGGGCATCTTCTCCCAAGAGTACGTTTTCTGAGTATTAGTCTAGAGCAACAGTGATAAAATAGTCAAGTTATTTGGAGTCTTCTTCTAAACCACAGGTCTCCTGCCAAAATAACGGGAGTGATAAAGCCCATTCCTCATGTTCCTCAGGAGCACAGTGAAGATTAAATAATGTCTACCAAATGCCCTGGATACCATAACACTATATACAAATGTCCATGACAGTAATGATCAAAATCTTACCTATCAATGCACTTAAGTACACAATTATTAGAATTGTCTCACATTTTACTGGACATTGATATACTCAGCTTAGCTATTTTTCTAAATGACTATACAATAGTTATATTTAACATACATTACACATTTACCATGTAGGCACTGTCCTAACTGCTTTACATAAATTACTGTTTTAAATAAATTATCTTCTGATAAGCTTAGCTATTTTCCTGAATGACTATTTAATCATAGTGATTAACATTTGTTTCACATTAACCATGTACCAGCTACATGCTGAGTAATTTATGTGCATTGTCATTTATATTTATTTATTCATTTATTTTTCAAATAAGATATAAAGATAAATTTAATGTTATAGGTACTCAACACAATAATGCCAGACATAAAGACAAATGGCAATATAATGATGAATGAATTGTAAATATAAACATATAAAAAAGGAGGTAAGTACATAAATCATTAACCGAAGATGATTAAAATGTATAGCGAACACAACACATTTGAGAATATGCATTATCATTTTAAGTTCTCACAAACTATTACATGGTTTAGGTGCTATTGTCATTCCCATTTAACAGAAGATGAAGTGATGGTCAAATTAATTAACCACTTTTCTGAAGCTACACAACATGCCAGAGGTAGACTCACTGTTAAGGGTCTAGTCTGTCTGCTTTGAAAGTCTGTGCTTTTGGCTAGTATGCCACTGCCAGCCATCTTCTTTCTGTCTTTCTGATTTTTTTTTTTTTCTGAGTTTCTTTAGACTATAACTTTTTCCATTAGAGTTCAAGATCCTTGAGGGTAGGGAATACTTGTGTATATGGCATGTGCACCTGGTGCCCTATACTCCTGACGCCTGGCACATGGTGCTTGGTCAACCAACTTAATTCGTTCCTAAATATTTGAATCTGTGTTGGTCATTTAAGAAGATCAGTACATTGGAGCTGTTGGTGTTTACCAGCATCTTCCTTCTCACAAAATATAGGAGCCATATAATTCTATAACAGTTATTTCCTGCTTATGACTGACAACATTTAAAATAAGGTATGAATTCCTAAGTGAAATCAGTTTCTAATTAGCTCCACTATAAATTATGGCCCATAAGTTTCTAGATGAAGCAGCTAATATCAGAAGGCATATGACACCCTTTGGTGATTGAGTCAGAAAATTGAGACATTCTCACTTCTTCATGCTACTTCTGAAAATTTTTACATATTTTCAAAGGCATCCAACTTATTTCTAGGTATCACCTTCCTTTTTCTGTTAAAGTTGAGGTGAGATAGTGAACGTAAACTGTTTATCATCACCTTGTAAGTGCTCTAGTGACATTGCATATTATTAGCTCTATTTTAGCTTATTACAACTATATTAATTGTGGGTTTAAGGCATTTAAGTTCCCACCTAAGCTACTGATAATAATTTGCTTGTACAACATACGTACTTTAAATAAAGAAAAAAGATACCCACCTAACTACCCCCATGATATACACGAGTTCATACATTTTACCAGTTAATCCTACAGGAAACAAGCAAAGTATCCTTCTTCTACTCATTAAAATGTATTACATTAAGATATACTTCCCAAAAAATTCTACTAATGTGAGATAGTTTTTCCATTGCATCTTGGAATAAAAATATTGTCTAGTGTTCCTGAGTGCTAATAAATGTTTCTATTTGTAATTTATTTTCATTTAGAGAAGAAGTTATCCTCAGTTTTTTCAAACTGCCCTAGGTACCACCTATCTAAATATAACTAGTGCTTTGTATGTGCTTCTATTTTTCTTTTTACTTTTAAAATCCTTATTTTCCTATTTTGGAAGTTGGAAGTTATGAAACTGGATGTCTGTATGTCATTGTGTATAGCTCCAGGTGGAGCTGAAACAAGTTTTGATAGTTTTATGTTTTAAAAAGATTTTTCTTGAAATAAAATAGATATGTGTAACCTTTTGATGATTTCACTGACCTCTGTGATAAGAGTCTGAAATAAACATCTACTACCGAGAAAGTAAGAGAGGCCCTTATATTGTGAAATGACAATACTAAAAAAAAAAGTAACATGCTGAATATTTATATGGAGGGAAATGCTGATTGCTTTTACTAAGCAAGAGCTCCTGGTATCTCTTATCCAAGATACCACATGCATTCTGCAATTAGCCTCAACGAGGCTACACATAGTTCTGATTTTTTTCTGGGTTAATTACTGCCTAAAGGAGTTATCTAGTCTACATGCCCCTAAGTTTAGGAGCAAGTGTTTTTGGAAATAAATATTTATGAAAGGGTAATTGTGACATAGAAGTTTGGTAAGTTTTTAAATAGTTGAATCAATATCATTGTTAAAAAGATCTTGGAGATTGGATTTGCACCACATCCATAATGAATATTCTGGATTTAATGTGAATTCATTCATAAATCTGATGTGTGCCCGGTGCTTCAGAAATAGGACTTACCAGCAGGTGGCATTCTGAGGCAAAAATTCACTGAGTGCCACCAGGCAGGGTCAATCATTATTGCCTTTTCTGAATCTACCCTGAATCCATTATGTCTTTAAATTACAATTAATAGCAATAGCATTTTGGTTGTGTCTACTCAATCATAGGTAAGTGAATTTACAACTTCAAACTTAAAGGGGAGATTCAGAGTTTCAAAGCTCTGCCTAGATTACACCTCTTTCATTAGGAGCATATTTGTTATTTTGAAATGGATGTCTGAAGGAGATATATAGCTCAGATCATATTTTCAGCAAGAAAAAAAGAAAAATGACAATCTTTTTTTTGCCACCTGTAGTTCTTTAATGGTGGCTGCTTATTAGAATATAACCCTCTCCCTCCTCTCAACCCCATATTTATATTATGATATATACAACCACATAAATACATTAGAAAGCTGTCAGTAGTGAAGGGAAAGAAGAGACAACACATACACACTCTTCTAGGAATAAAACTGTATTATTCTAGCACAAAAGGAATAGGCTACTGAGACGAGTTGTCTATTTCTAAATGGCTTTGAAAACTTAGACATTCAATGAAAGAAAAAAAATTTCTTCTACCAACTCAACAAATAAGAAAGACCTCAGATCTATCTAAAAATCTAAGCAGTGCACTAGAGGAAGAAAGCTGATAAATAAAAGTTCAATTCCATATTTTAGCGAGAACACAACCTCTACTGGAAAAAAAGATCAATATGAAAGAACCATCATAGCTGCTTACATTGAGGGTATAATACGCAGGCTTGTTCCTCCTCTAGATGACCGGAATCCGGTGCTGAGTCGCGGGAAGCTGGCTCCCCATGGGTGGCAGCAAAGGGTGTACCGCTCTCCGTGGTGCTGAAGTATAGAGCTGGTCAAGTGAGTGGAGTTGCAACGATGTGAAAGCGCGCTCCGCTGTTCTTTGTGCTGCAATGGTAAAAACTCTCCTTCCGAGGCAGAACCGTGTTACCGTCCTTTTCCTAATCGGGGGGAAATTTCCCAGAGAACATGACGGAGAAGCATCTGTGTGTGAGAGTGGCATGCGGCGTGGTGATGTGTTGGTATAGTCCCCACCCCCTCTTCCCGACGTAGCTTGAAAGGGAGGTAGCAACTCTTTCTTCCTACCATAGCTCCTCAGGATTTCTACCTGCCCCTTCCTCTGTCCCAGAACAGCACATCACACACACACACACACACACACACACCCCTCGTTATATAAGGCAGCATGTTCTGGTTTCTGAGGCAGAATACTCATTGGTTTAAACAAATGAGGAATGAGTTGGTTTCCTACCTGTTGTGTCTGTGTGTTTACAGAGGGAGGGGTTTAAAAAGAAAACTAAAACCAGAGAAGCCTAAAGACCGATAGAAGTAGTTTTCTTTCATAAGTCTCATCAACCCACCACACTTTGTCTTCTGTGAGTGATGTATCTTCCAACTTTACTATGTTGGTTCAGTGGGGTAAGTCTCACGTTAGTAACAAGACTAAAAGGATTAGGTTTCATTTGCAACTTTCCACTTTTTGAAAGGAAATTCTCAATCCAAAATACCATTTCCCTAACAGTTCCCACACTCACCAATTGCTATGTTACCAAATGGTCTATGATTCTTAAACACTGAGGTACTTTAATGACATCATTGGAGAGAAACCATCTTAATTGAAATATTGCCTGTGTAAGAAAAATCACAATTGCTTCTACAATCTACCTGGGTTACTGACCAATAAATCAGAGTGGTTATTCTCTGAAATCAATTCACGGCTTAATAACTGACACTCTGTAAAACTGTTGCTGTGTGCACGTGCAATACTTAGGGATAAAGAGTTGCTTATAATGTACACGTGACCATTCTAGTTTTACATCCAAATGAGATTGCATTGGTTTATTAATATGCTACTAGTATTTTCTCTGGATATAACATGGTATGTGGGAAAAGACCTTGGGATTTTGATTCACTTATTAACTGTGTGACTTTAGACATGACAATAAACCCATTGAATCTCAGTCTTCTCATATGTGAATGGTGGGTAACAATAGGGTTTATAATATCTTTTACCAATTGTTGTGGTGATAATTAATTGAAAAATCATATACAAATAACTCTAAAGAGCTCACACTTAAGGTGTGCATGGTAAGTTTGAATGTTCCTTTTAATTTTTTAAAAATTTGAGACAGGGTCTCACAGTGGTACAATCATGGCTTACTGTAGCCTTGACCTCCCAGGCTCAAGTGATCCTCTTCCCTCACCCTCCAAAGTAGCTATACAGGCACATACCACCAGAGCTAGCTAATTTTTAATTTTTTAGTAGAGACAGTGTCCTATTACGTTGCCTAGGCTGGTCTCGAACTCCTGGGCTCAAGCTATTCTCCTGCCTCAGCCTCACAAAGGGGTGGGATTACAGGCATGAGCCACAATGCTCGACCCAGTTTGAAAGTTCTTTCTCCTCTGCTTGCTCAAGAGAAGTTAAGGTAGTTCTCTAGTTCTGGGAAAGGTGGCATGAACCTGTAGTCCCAGCTACTTGGGAGGCTGAGACATGAGGATCACTTGAACCTAGGAGGCTGAGGTTACAGTGAGCTGAGATCATGCCACTGCACTCCAGCCTGTGTGACAGAGTGAGATCCTGTCTTGAAGAGCAAAGAAACCAACAACAAAATCCTTCAAAGACTGGCAATAAGTGAATTTTATTCTTATAAGCCTCCACACAAGCTTTACAATATTAATAATTATGCTTTGTTGGATAAAATACCATTCTAAAAAGAAATTTTCTAAAATTAAGACTTTCCTTAAAAAAAATTACAGGCTTGAAGGATACAGAAATTTTATTTTTTATTAGAATCAGAAACAAATAGATTTATGCATTTGAATAAAATGCTAATGAATTAAGAGCTGTTTAGTATTGCAATGAAGTGTGGAACAAAATACAAATGTGAAGCTGATAAAAGTGTCTTACACAACTAAAAAGTTAGAAGATTGGCTCTGACAAGTGATAATATCCTTTTGATATTATCAAAAGGATTTTGGGATCCTCATCATCATGATTAGTGAAGTAGTGTAGAATGAGATAACTCTTAATCATACAATACTTTTAAAAGAATACTGGTTTGTGGCTTTTAGTTGATGATGGAATTGAAGTCTCATTATATTCTGTTTTTAATAAACAGCCAAGAGTGTATTTTCATAAAACTCTGACATGAATAATGTCCTTGTTTTCAATATTGATAAGCTTATTAAAAAAATTAAACCATATTTTAGAAAGTTGTGCCAATGATGGTATGACAGTCAAATGTGTGTGTGTGTATATATATATATTCTCTCTCTCATATATATATATGTGTGTATTTATGTGTACATAAAAGAGAGAAAAGAAATGAGCTAATTATTTTCTAGATATATTAATTAATTGAAGACAAGTCAGAGTCAGGCCAGACAGCTCTTCAAAAGTGATAAGATGACATTTTGCCAAGGATCCAGTCCTCAAGATCCTTATAATTAGAGTACTTTATCATTTCCAGAGCATATCATACACAGATATTTGGTTCAACGAGGCAAATACTTGTAATCTGAAAAAATGTTGCATCCATATCAAATTTTCAATATATAAAACACAGAAGTAATTAGAACTTCACCATCAACAGTGAAAGTTCAGAAGATGCTCCGTTTTTGGACTAGAGGATGTCTAAATTTCCTGCATAAGGACTTGAATTTTGCATCTCCCAGTCTCAAACAGACATAGGCTCACAGTAGAATTTAGTGGTTAAGAGTATGTACAGCTTCTAGTCAAATTTCCTGTGTTTTAATCCCAAATTTCCTATTCCTCAAGTGTGTCCCTAAGTTTTATCACCTGTGAGATGAAAGTAACAACAGTTTCTCACTTGTAGAATTATAGTGAAGATAAAATGAGACAACACACACAAAGAGCTTACAGCAGAACCTGGCACATAGAGCTCAGCCTATGTCAGCTTTCGCTACTGCTTAACAACTCACCCTGTGACTGAACAGTGAACATACTATTGATCCGTGGTTCTCAGACTTTGTGTGCTCCATTATCATCTAACTAACCTGTTAAAAATATAAACATACAAATTTCTGGTTCCCTAGAAAAATAAGTACTTTATCTCCTTAAGAACCTAAAGTGATTCTGATGCAGATGATTCATAAATCACACTTTGGGGGAACACTGCTATTTATTGTCCATTGAATGACTAGGTTGTTTTAGAAACCAAAGCCATGAATATGAAGGTTTATTTCAAATAAATGAGTTTTTTAGGAGACCATTCCCCCTTTTTTTCCTCTCTCAGAATGTTCCTTAAGCCTGTGCAACTTTGTGTGGTTACTAGTCAGGTCTGGTTCTTTCTCCTAGATAGAAATATATTGAGCAGACTTCTTAGGCATTAGATTTAAGGAATTAATGTAAATCAGTTTCCATAGAAAAATTCTGGCTGAAATTGCTAGAAGCCACTATGCTGAACCCACTTAAAAAGTAGATCTCTCTCATTTTGATTAATGACAGCATCACTGTAAAGCTTCTTTTGAGTGAGCACAAAATCTGGGGAAAAATTTTGTGCTCTAGACTGTTCTCAAGTGACGAAAAATTGTGTTTTTATTTACAAAACAGGGAGTGACTGGAAATAGCACTATGTCTCAAAGTGATGATAAGAATGATGCTAATTTAATTCTATTCATATTTATGTGTTTTATGAGAAATTATTCATCTTTCAGTTTGGGCTATAACTTTGCAGATTTCAATGGTTATGCTTTTACAGGACTTATGTAAGCTATAATTGGCTTGTAACCTATTAAAGTTTTCTTACAAAAGCAAACTGAAACCCATATGAAATATTTACTCATTGCTATTGTTTGAATGTCTCCTCCAAAACTCTTGTTGAAATTTAATTATCATTGTAATGGTATTAAGAGGTGGGACATTTCAGAAGTGATTAGGTTATGAGAGCTTCACCTTCATAAATGGATTAACACCTTTATATTGGGAGTGGGTTACTGTGGGAGTCCAGCCTCCTTCTCTGTTTCTTGAGCTTACCCTTTTGCCTTTCACCAAGGGATGATCCTTTGCATGTGGTGCCTTCTGCCATGTTATGACACAGTAAAAAAAATCCCTCACCAGATGTGGCCCTTGATTTTGGACTTCACAGCCTTCAGAATTATTAGACAAATAAATCTCTTTCCTTTATAGATTACTCAGTCTGTGGTATTCTGTTACAGCAGCAGCAAGCAGACTAAGACATTTATGTTCTGCCTTAAAAACATAAGAAAGATTTAAGATGGTGTGGTCAGAATGGAAACCCTCCTTCAATTAAAGAAGTGTGTAGGAATGGCAGTCGGCGGATAGCCTCCAGCTGCCATATCCTTCAGGGTCTGCCTCAGGTACAAAGAGCCACCTTACCCGGGCCACACCCTTTGCAGGATAGACTGTATTTTATGACTGAGCAAGGTGAGAGAATACAGACCATTTCAGGAGCATGCTCATGCAGAATACTCTTTCCAGGACTTGCTGCTATATTGCCTGCATTATCATAGTTTGATTTCTTCCTCTCCCCAATACTGCTTCCTCCCTTTTCCTTTTAAAAATGTTGATCTCTAGTAAATATTTTTCACCTTAAACTCTATATCAGTGTCTGCTGCTGAAAAACCTAACCTGTATTCATTGATATCAGGAATGAATTGAGAAACTAGGTGATATGATGGCATGTTTGAGCTGGACTGCCACCATGTAGTTGGCGCTGACCTTATCACTGGTCATAGATGGAGCACAGATGGCCCATGAAACAAGGTGATGGTTCAGTTAAGTTTTCACCTGTGGTGAATTGGGATGTTATGCTTGTAGAAGAGAATGCATTGGTAAGTGGGAAATATGCATTTGAAACTCACCAGAGAAATAATAATGACAAGCACAATGGCTTTGGATAGCTATCATTAAACGCCACCTATATTCAACAGAAAGATAAGTAGCTGAGGATGCCTAATAGGCAATAGAATTCCAGGTGTAAAAGCTGGAGGACATCTTGGTGGCAAAGAAGCTCTTAAAAACTCTGTTGGGAGAATATAG